GACTATTGTCAAATATAAAGCAAGTAGAGATTCTTGAATATAAATAAGATTATAAGGCATTAATAAGAGTAAAAAATGCCTTGCTCTTGCTTCTATATATGCTTTTTAATTAAAAAATTATATAAAAATGTTCTATAGATTATTTAATATGTATCAAATTTACAAGACTTGTAAAGTGAATTTCTTACATATACACCACATGACTAATTTGTAAAACAAGAAGTTAGCATGTGCAATATGTGGCTAACTTATTGACCTACTTTTCAATCTATCGTTTACATACAAACACTTAAAAAGTCAAATGTGCATCTATACAGCTTCTAAAAAGCTCTTGATAAGATATTATCAAATTTACTTACTTTTATTTCAATAGAATTCATCTTATCTTCTTAATTATTAAATCTTCTAAAAAACTCTTGATAATATTGATGTCTATGATAAAAGGTTTTTTTTTATTATAAAATTTTTAAAAGTATATTTTTAAATTATTTTACTTATTTATTTATTTTTATATAAATAAATCAGAATTTTATTTTATTTTAATTTTTTTAATAATTATCATATAATTTACTTATGATATGTATTATTTCAATAAATACTAAAATTACATATTTATTAAAGAAAATTACGCCCCTCAAAAAAAATCCAAAAAATGCACTAATAATTATTAATTATTAAATATTAAAAAAATTATAAAAATTATGCTCTCTTCTTCAATTAATTTACTTCAATAATATTAATTTGAATGAAAGTAAGGATAAAAAAAATTATTACTTGGATGAAATTGAATCAAGTCTATCATATATAAATCATGTTACAGTTGGTATTTAATTTTTGTATAATTTATAGTATCTTAGCATATTATATATATATTTACATCATGTACTGTACAATCTATATTATATAGATATTATTAGCCACAAATTCTATCAATATCTTTGGAATATAATTTTAGACTCTTTTATATTAGCAATATTATTATGTTACAATAGATTTTTAATTTAATGATTTGGAAAGGCTAGAAGTTTAGGTCTACAATAGAGAAGGGCTTTGAATCTAGTTTGGTGCTAAAAAAAGATATCTTCTAGTATTATTAAAGCTTGGCAACTAATAGATTAAATATTATTAATAAGACTTTGATAATATGGGCTAATTCTACTTATTATGCCTTTGCTTCTAAAATGATTGTTTACAAATTATTTAAGATGAGAGATTTATTTGAAAATAAATATTCAACATCTAATTATCTCAAAGCACATTAATAAAGCTCAATATCTACAAGTAGAGTTACTTTCACCTTGTTTTAGCTTATAGAAGATTATAATATTTTTTTATTTAGTAATCTATTAGTTATTACTTTTACAAAGAGATTTTATAGTATGATATCTAAAAAAAAGATAAGAAGGAGCTTTAGTTTTCAAATAGATAGATAGACAAATTTAAGAAGAGATTTCATATCAAAAGCTAAAATTGTCATAAAGAGGATGCATTTGCTAATACTTCTCTTAAGACCTTGAGGAGGATGAAGGGAATTAAACTTCTTATGTGTCAATATTTGTTTTTTGAAATATTCAATATGGATGAAACAAACTTCTTTTATAGGATTAAAACAAATCATATAGTTGTTACAAAAAAATTGTCTAAGAAGATGAAGGAAAAAGAAGACATTACTCTTGAACTTATTAGTACCATTAAACTTCTTCTTTTAGTTATCAACAAGTATATGAAGCCTTAAGCATTTTCATGTAGGTACATTTTTCAATCTAGATAAATTTAAAATTAAATGGTTCACAAATAAGAAAGCTTCAATGAATATAAGTATATTTGAAGAATTTATTTTTAATTTTCATAAGATGATGGTTGTTGCACAAAAAGAAGAAGTATTATTATTAATTGATAATTTCTTAGGTCACAAAGTACCTAATATAGGTCAACAATGAAAAGTGACTTGACTTAAATTTGTGCCTCTAAATACTAGAAGTAGATTCCAATCTATAGATGCATGAATTATACAATCATTCAAAGCTCAATACCACAAGCCGCTAATTCAACACTATAAAGATTTGCTTATAGAAAATAAGAACAAAGATGTCTATATATATATATATATATATATATCAATTTGTCACAATGCTTGGTGCATTGGAGTTATAACATCAACAATCATAATTGTTCAAAAAATATACATATTTTTTTGTTTCATTTTGATAGTACAGAAGTAGATGAGACAATCATGAGAGATAGAGAAACTTAAGAAGAAATATAGAAGAAAAAGTGGAAAGAAGTTACTACCTTTCTGGAACAATTGGCACTTGTATTTGCAAAGAATAAAACGCCAATACACGACTATGCACTGCAACAATCCAAAATTTGCGGCTCGAAACTCCTGAGTTGATCACAGTCTAGCCCTTGGTTCGTGAATAAATAGAATTGTGCTGGTCTGCAAATTTTTCCTGGTGCCGATCATCGGAGGACGGTGACGTGCATGGATGGAAGCATGCAATCAGGATTCCATCGCTGAGAGAGGGCTGAGCTGGTGCAGCTCAGCACGTCAATCTTACATGCTGAGGTATGGATCGGGTCGTTCTGCCTTTCCCGAATTTTAGAGGCAGGAACGGAAGTTTATGTCCCGTGCGCCTCCGGCGATGTGCAGGCCTTTGAAACTTAATCGCATCGTTTGCACCATACAGATATTGCCACAATTTCATAAATGACTCGATCTGACTATCACACCTCTAAATAATTACTCCAATCTAACAAATTTCCGCTACTCCACCACCACCTTCAGCACATCCAGAACTTCTTGTCTCTACGCCTCAACCTCCACATAAGACTTAGGGGAGACGAAATGGAGTTTGATTTCACCAATGCACAACGTCGTATCAGGAGGAAGAGCGAGAGCTGCAAGCGCTGTGAAACCTACAGACCGAATTCCTAAGCATCAAGAAACAGCAGGAGGCCACATCGGTGTGACGGGACACAACATGAGCACCAGGGCGGGGCCACATCAGATCCCATATCTGGGCCATTATTGCCACCCGGTGGAATAAAGCTCCACCGTCGAAATCTGCCTTTCGCTTTCATCCTCCCCGTACCTCACTACCATCACTCGGTTGCAATATGTCCGCTATCGTCACCTCAGTATCACAACCTCACGATCAATCCATTAAAAAACACAGAAAAAAAAGGTCACCACTGGAATTCACACCACTAGTCGGAGCACCATCACCGGAGCCCACATCCCCATCGCCACCGCCGCCCCCATCGGCACCACGAGAGAAACGAAGGCAGCACCTCGATTCTGAGTAACAACAAAGCGGAGACGACACCTACATGAACACGCAGCTAGTACTCTCATTAAATCTCTTAATTATGCATGCACACGAAGAGACGGAAAAACTGAACTCGTCTCGCTGTGGGAAAGAGCATTTGGAGTTTATCCTTTGTAACTTACTGCTTCCTGGTTTCAATTATCAATAACAAACCCCCAGGTGCTAAACTCAACTGGAAGTTCTACCCCCATACATACACTTCTACCGTAAATGTTTTCAGGATTACGCGGAGCCAACGTGAAGCCATGCCCAGTGTACTTTCTGGTAATAACACCGAGCACCCAAGTGGGGGAAGGTAGCAGAGAGAACGCATTGTGTTTAAGTCAACCGCAATAAGCGCCCAAAAGGATCCGGAAGCTAAAGATACTCAATACTGTGATTAAAATATGCAAAAGAATTGTGTGCCAAAGAGAAGAAAAGTGTGATAACATAGAAAAGGTTTCTCTTAAAATGGAATGAAGTAGCGGAAGAGATGAAAACCGGGCACCAGCAAAGGCTTTGTCGTAGATAGACCGTCCCCAGAAAAAGAGTCGCCAATCCCCAGAGAGAAAAAAAAAAGTAAAAGAAAAAAAAAGAAATCTGTGTGCTTAATAAAATAAAATGAACACAAAGGAATGGATCTAATGATATCATGCTCAGGCAGGAAGCAGTTCCTGTGTGGTCGCAATTGGGTTGAGAGGGGATGGACGATGATTAATGTCAGGGATCGATGATTGATCAGGCTGCGGCAGCAGCAGGTGCCACCGAATAATATCAACCAGATCATGAATTGGGTGGTATGGTAGAAGGGTGGCCTGAGCAAGCACGATCTGAAGCGGCAGTGGTGATCGATGCCTGTGGTCCCCTGGCTTCGATCGTCATGGAGCGTCAGTTCATCAGCGAGTGGGTGGATCAGTCAGATTGGTCTCGGATCTGCAGTCGACGATCTTCCAGCCAAAGAAGTCCTTTAGTTTGCGATTGACGACGGCTTTGAGTTCCAAAGAGAGATGGAAGAATGAGTGGGAGTGATTGATCTAGTGACGCGGTACAGGGACAAAGCCATATCACGAGGAGGTACATAGCTGGGTGTCCTCGAGAAGTGGGACAAACGACGACCTTTTCTCAGTGGTGTCGAAGGCGGGATGGTTTGAAGGAATAGTCCAGGGAAGTTCGATTTCGGAGAGGATTCGGCAGTGGTGACCAGGACTGGCAAGTAGTTGAAAGCGAGGGACAGTAGTTGGAACTGTCGGAGAGCACCTCTCCCTTGATTCCACAAACGAAGAGGAGGAGGTGTGTCTGCCTGCGGGCAGTCAGAGAGTGCACACGGATACTGAGCTTCTTCCGCTACTTCAAATCGTCTTGCACTTGAACTCTCGTAGAACAACTCTCGTGGTTGACTTACTCGAATTGGGCTGAGCTCGCCCCTGCCTGCAAAAACGGGCTGTGCATGCGTAGGCGGCCATCCGAGGTTTAGCTGTTTCAGAAGCTGTCGACTTCGGCAGATTTTTTGTCTGCAGTAGAACTTGTGTCCAGCAAGTGAGGATCTGACCTTGAGCGTGGGAAGGGATATTATGCCCCTGCCATTTGAGGTTGGTGAAAAAACATTAGTAGATATCCGGAGGCTTGTGGGGGAGAAGTGTATAGGCGAGTGCAGGTCGATCTTGTGACTGAGAGGAGTAGGATTATGGAATTATGGAGGATCGCCTGAAAAAGAAGATTTTCATGTGCTGAATATTGTCTGCGAGATTTTGAGAGGATATGGGTGTGGAATGCATTCTGTAAAGAAAACGCTAAGCCAGAGCGAGAAAGTTAAGGGGTTGGAGTTCATGGCCGCCTGGTGTAGGTGCAGGTCGAGGAGCGCACTGTCCTATCCTCTGAATCTGGATTTGGGCATGGGGGCCAAAAGCTCCGGAGCATCGCTGCGTTTGCAGCTCAGTGTCTTACCTTGAGGTGTGTGGTTCCCTCAACTGCTGTTTTCGGTAGCGTTACTAGCTGGAATCATGGTTTTTTGGCAACCAGTAATCATAGCTTTCACATTCACCACAGCTTGTAATTTTCTTCTTAACTCTCACACGAACTTGAATATGTTTTAGAACAGCTGAGCGACCGATTACACTTGCAAACAAACAAATGATCGATGCAAGAGTAATCGAGAAAACTTGTAGGGCCCATTCATGCTTACCACGTGTTTGTCTCTTTCTGGTATTAATTTCCCGCAGTGCGAACCAGAGGCATGAACTTCTTGTTTAGGGCAGTGAAAAAGAAGTTCGAACAGAATTTTTTACTGTATTGGTATCTATCAAATAAGGCTCACCTTTCGGAGATACAACAGCATTAGATCGCAGAGAAGGTCTGCTAAAATACAGCTTTCTTGTGTTAGTTTCGTCCTCTTCTCCATCAGGTCCTTGTGTGTCCGAAGTGTCCCTGCGGAACGACCACCATACCTTATTGAAAACTCACTTGAATCCCAGAGTTGCACTCTATTGTTGTTATGTTAAAATGGTTTCAGGTATTACATCGCTCTTTCTATATCCATGTTTGATTCTTGAGAGGGACCGATGGGCTACTCAAGTATTCTTTTCTGGCTCGAAGGGTGTAGAAAATTACAGCTTGCAGGTTAAGTCTGCACTGTGTGGAGTCAGGTATTGGTCTTTGCCAACGAGAATTATTCTGTAGTACGGGTCGGCACTGTGCTTTGGTCAAGTTTAACATTCGAAGTTCTTTTGAGGGTTGTGCAGGCAGCTGTGAATGTTGCAGCATTATTTATTGGTGAACCTATTTGCTTTTAAGTGATCCCTTCGACTATTGTGAAAAAGAATATGTAATGATCAACTGCTGAAACACAATTGAAGTAGTTTCGATTGAAGATAACATGTCAAAAGCCAATGAAGCAGACTATAGTTTGAGCCTGTATTGTGCATGTTGCATCGCATTTTTGCTTAGCTTACGCTAGGGGAGGTGAGCCATTCATCTTCGCGGCTCATGCAAGACTTGGAAATACTGAAGCTGATGGAGAATAGTAAATCTCTAGCACTGAACTTCCCCTTTTGTACGATTGAGCCAAGTGTTGGTGTGATGACTTTGGCAGGTAATTGAGTGTGCCATCTTTACTTAGTTTTTACAATAGTTAAATTTTTGGATGTCGCTGGTTTTGGTAAAGGGGAGAGGTATGGTTCCATGACATGAAATGGTATTCATCTCATGTGGATTGTTTCTTGAGCACTGTTTTGTGCTATTGAGCGATTATCTGCTACGACAAGAGTGTGGCATGGTTGTTTGGGTGGCCATTGAATAAGCCGTTTGTTCTAATGAGAACCTCTCTTGGAAGCTTTGAGCCTGGTTATTACTCAGCACGCAATAGAAACGTTCGATGTGCATAATGAGCCACAGGCACCTTCCAGTTGCTAGTCTGGAGTTCAGTGGGTGGTAATGGTTTGACAAGTCCAATTGCTGTGTTTTCTCATGTTATCGATGTTATCTCAATCTGATTGTTGTCCATTACACCGGAAGCTTTGTGCTAGAATTCTGTAGTAGCGTTGTATTCGTCCTAGAATTTATATCAACAAAACAAAAAATTACAAAACACAAAAACATAAAAGAAATGCACAATTTGCGAATTTCAGCCAGAGCTTGAACGTCGGTGTCTTTAGAACTCGGACGAGTCGGACCTCGATTTACAGAATGTTACTCTGAACATTTACATTCAACTTGGAGAGCTAGTGTTCTGCAGATGAAGTTGAGTGGAACCACTCTGCATCGCGAGACCGTTGGCTGAGGCCCGCTCGCAACATTGTCAGTGTTTCTTGTTACCTGCTAAAACTTCACATAAAACTCAAGATGAGATCGATGCGGGCATATGGCGATGAGTTCGTGGTGGTGAGTGTGGGAGAACAACCAGAAGTCGATCTCACGGAAATTACCATTAATTGTCCAGACAAAGTGGGACTTGGCTGCGACATTGCCCGTATCGTTTTCGAGTTCGGCGTGAGCATCACAAGAGGAGGTGATACGAAATTTCAGGGTCCAGTGCAGGAACTTGCGATGCATTGTGCCTCATGGATTCATTTCCAGTAATGTACATGACTTTCTGATTTTGCTCTGCCACGATATTAAGTCACTTTCATGAATTCGCAGATTTGGTTACCGATGGCCGGTGGTGCTTTGTGGCGCTTTGGGTGATTCCGAGAAAGAGCATGTTGCCCATGCGCTGGACACTGATGAAGCAACGACTGGAGGAGGCTTGCCCTTCTAATCTCCCATCGCTACTTCCCCTTCCTAGCCCTCCAGTGTCACTGTCACAAAGAATACTGCTCCTCCAAGTCAGCTCAATCGATCGCACTGGCCTACTGAATGGTAACTAAAATTTATCACTGCGGCCCTGATCTTGATTGATGTGGGTCCTCGCTATTTCAATCCTCACAACACACAAGTGCATCTCATTTCCTCTAAGTTGGAGACAGATTGGTCATCTTTGTAGGGGTTTGCTTCTACAGATGTGTCACAAAAGCTTTGGGAACTGGAGTTCACAATTCATAAAGTGAAAGTGTCAACTACCCCGGAGGAAAAGTCCATTAACTTTTTCTTCATAAGTGATAGTAGGTATGTTCGTCCTCTTTCTTCAAAATCCCATTTTGCAAACTACGTAGGTGATGAAAGTGTCAACGAGGAGTTCAAGAATGTGGTGTGTAGCTTGTTGTCGCGCTGACTGGAAGTGTTTGGTAATGAGTGCAGGAACAAGCTGCCTTGGAGGAAACGAGGGGATGAGGTGGTACAGCAAGTGAAGGAATTGCTCGGTACCAACTGTTCGTGTTGTGATATCCAGCAGGCGAGTCAGGAGCTCCGGGGGCTTGAAATTCTTCCCCCACCTGCCTGGCTCACTATGGATTTGGTCTATGATGAACCTCCTACATTCGAGAAGAGAAGGAGCGATAGTATAGGAATTCAGAACGTCTCGTCGGCCACAATTGAAGTGAAGGATGATACTATCAATAGTCCTTTACACACTCTGCTTCAAGTGACGTGCAAGAGGCGCAAGGGCCTGTTGTATGACACTCTCCGATGTGTGAAAGATTTGAAACTTCAGGTGGCACATATGCGAATTGCCTCACTGGAGGACGGCAATAGCGAGATTAGCGTCTTCTTCTTAGATTGTAAAGGTCGAAAGGTTACAGATCAAGCCAGTAAAGACAATATTCTGTACTCCGTTCGAGAAGCAGTTGAAAACCCCCTGCGCATCAAGATTATCACTCGAGGGGTCGACACCGAGTTGTTCGTGTCCACTCCCATTGAAAATTGCGGAAGGGGCCGTCCTCGCGTCGTATACGATGTGACTCTCGCTCTGAAATTGTTAGATGTTGGCATATTCCAGGTTTACACACCCCTCAACATTCATTAATTCTACTGGACCTGATTGGATTTGTGTTAACACAATCCAATCCCTTCGACCATTTGAGTTGAACTCAACCCAGTTCTGACATTTGTAAAAACCTTTTTCTGTTGGCACAGGCCGACATTGGACGGCATGAGGTGGATAATCACAAATGGGAGGTGTACCGCTTTCTGCTGTCGGATAGAGAAGATTTCAATTTGACTTGCACCAAGAACCGCAACCTGATCATCGAGCGGGTGCAAGATATGCTTTTGGGGTGATGAGGTTGGATCTCCTCTTCACCTTCATTCATGGATGCTGCTGTATTGGGAACAATTGGAGGAACATGGGCAGGAGGCCTTGTCACATTGGTAAGCTCCTCTAAAGATAGGGATGGACATTTCAATGTTATACTCTCACCTGGGTCATTGGTTACAAGCCAAAACACACTGTTGCTTTCTCGATGCCGTTGCAACTGCAACAATATACCTGCCGATTAATTTTTTTTCTGTGAAATTTGTGAATAGTATGTGAGACGGACGTAATGTATACTACGACGCGAGCAGTTGCTCAATTCGTTCGTTCCCTGGGCTTGGCTAGCCCGTTTCTGTAATTGTGGAAGCCTTTCAGCTTCATTTGAAGCCCTCGCGTTTCTCGTACTATCCAGGCACACTTCCTTGGACGTGATCGGTTCTCGTTACAATTCTGGTGTCGTTCTTTTGCAGGTCATGCTCTTGTCATTCCCATCATATTTATCTGCAACGAATTGCACTAGATATTGTTCTCATCATATGGGCCGTATGATGTTGACAAGGGAATGCAAGCATACAGAGACCAAAGTCAAATGTTGCTGTCTAAAGCTTGCTTTTATTGTTGAGAATAATCCAAGCTATTGAATGAGAGCTTGTTTTCTTTTCCTTCCACATTCACCCTTCGGCAGATGCTTGTTTGATGTGTTGGCCATATATCTAGAAGTCCACTTTGAAATGTCATGGTACAAAAGCCTTCCAATGATCTTCTGTTTGGCAAAAAAAAAAAAAGTCTTTGGAAGCTGTAGTTATTGGGAATAGGAAAAAGTGAGAACGAAATAAATTAAAATACATATATATATATATATATATATGAAATGTTTGTATATTTAATGAGAGAGAGATATATATGTGAGAATGGAATCAATGATGAAATATGTATCACTCCCACAATTATGACATATCAAAAATTAATGTTTTTGTTTTCAATGGTTTTTTTATGAAATTCCGCTGAAAATCACCTTTTTGACAAGCACATATTGCAATATCTAGGAGATACCATTGTTTATGCCTTGTGAAAAAAATATTTTACAATTCAACTTCCTTTTTAAAAAAAATAGGTTAATTACTTAATGTATAATGCCAACAACTATTAAAGAATTGTTCACAAACCTGACAATAGAAAGAGATGAGTTTTTGGTTCCAGCATACATTGAGCGTACACTGGAAGTAGATTCAAAAGTATTTGGACAAATCCAAATTTTATTTTAAGCAAACTTGAAAAGTTTTTGTATATGTATCTTAGTGAAAGAATGCCAATTGTGGCTCACAAGAGATTAGGATTTGGCTAAGGGCTAAGCAAGGATTTAAAATACGTGTTCATCTAAGATAGGCCCAAATTCCTTTTAATCTAATCCAAATATTTAACTTTATAAAATAATATATTATATATCATCTAAGAATATATATATATATATATATATATATATACTTTAGCAGTTAAGTTTCAACAAGTATGTGGGGAATTAAATTTAATATTTAGTCATGGAAAGTTGATCTTTGGTGATATAAAATAAGCCTCATTAACAAGTATCTTTTTTAATTTAATAATATAAATTAGAATATTTTATGTATTAAATTTTTTAGAGTATATATATATATATATATATATATATATTAAGCCAGATCATGCATATGTTGTATTTCAAATTTATAGTTACTCTTCAATAAAACTTGCTTTCATTATATTTTTTACATTATTCATTGAGAAAATAATTTGAGAAATCAATATTATCTTTACAAGCAATCGAACCAGAGAAAACTTCATGTAGATTTATAAGATTAGATAGTACTATCATATTAAATGATAATTTATATAAATTATATATAAAGTAAATCTGAAATGAATTTTTGATATATTATTTATATTATTTATATATATTTATCAAAAATATTATTTATGTATGATAGTACTGTCTAATCTTATATATTTTTAAATAATATATTTATAAGATTAGATAGTACTATCATATATATCAAAAATATATATATTTATACAAAAAAAATTGGTATATTAAATATATTATTAATATATATTTATCAAAAATATTTAATATTTATATTTAATATAATAAATATATTAATATATATAATAAATTAATATATTATTTTTTATCTTTACAAGAAATCGAACCAAAGAAAACTTCATGTAGATTTATAAGATTAGATAGTACTATCATATTAAATAAATAAAATTATCATTATATATAATCAAATGATTTATAAAACATTTGATTATAAATTTATCTAAATAAAAATTATACAAATCATTTGATTATAAATTTATCTAAATAAAAATTATACAAATCATTTGATTATAAATTTATCTAAATAAAAATTATACAAATCATTTGATTATAAATTTATCTAAATAAAAATTATACAAATCATTTGATTTATATAATTTATATAAATAAAAATTGAGAAGCAAGCTTAAAGGGAGAAGAATTGAGGTCTTGGACATTAAATAGCAACTTGGAGCTTGTGGAGAGGGATAGATGATAAGGCACTTAGATGGCACCAAAGAGATCCTAGGTTTGAATTTCTATGGTAGTATAAAAGGAAAGAGAGAATATTCTTCTAAAAATCCTCAATTTATTTGTTAAAAATATCTAGAGGGTTGATCTTGTAATGCTTACATTGAGAGATTATATTAGATGCATGTCGCCTATAGGTAGAAGCAAAGAATCTTTCTTGTTAGTAATATAATCTGAGATACCTATGTCTTTTAAATATTCATCTTCTTGATAGATTGGCATATAATTTCTTCTAAAAAAGAAGGAACGACAAGTTGATAGTGGCTAAAGTGTGTCGACATCAATCCTTTGGAATCTTCAATCTAGTTTTTTTCTTTTAAATAAAAATACTTCAAATAAAATAAAATTTAGGGTTTAGGATTTGAAAATAGGATTTAGGGTTTAAGATTTAGGATTTTGAAGGGGTAGCAACCTTCTTTGGAGAGAAATATAAGGACTTTCAAAGAAGGTTTTGAGCTCTTTCATGTTTGTTTTACAAACATTTGATTGAAAGATTTTTTGACAGTATGAAGAGCAAGGGGATTTATGAAAGGTTTGTATTTTATTGATTATTGTATGTGTCTTTTTTTAAAAGTTTTTATAAAAAAAAATAGCACAATTAATAACAACTAGAGGCCTAATGTTTTTTCAAGGCAAACTTTCTCTCTCCACAATAGCAACTGTGGTGGATTCCATGGGGACTTTAATTTCTTTGTCTTCTCACATAGCATTATTGAATTTCTATTAAAAATAAATAAATAAATATATATATATATATATATGAATTCAAGCATAAAAAAATATTTTGATGCCCTAAAAGAGTGTGATGTTTTGACAATTTATTGAAACTTTAGAGGCTCTATTCTAAAAGCACAAAAGCTCTTTAGGATTTGAGAATGACACCTTGTAAGTTTATTAACAGATTTGTAACAAAGACAACTTTGAAAGCCTAATAGCAAAAATTTAGATGATTTATATAGTATCTGAAGGTAATACAGACAAATGAATAGGTAGCAAATTTAGAATTTTAGTACAAATTAGACAATATTTGCAAGTATATGTATGTATATATATATATATATATAGCAATGATAATTTTTAGCAATAGTGGTCCCTTTGATAATTATAAATAATTTTATAACACATTTTAGATTTCACAAAAAATCTTTTATTATTCTTTTATTCCATCAATAGTCTTGAGCTATATTTAGAAGCCATTTTTGTTTGGATTTTAATTCTTTTATTGTCTCTTTATTGCACCAAGAGTTTTGTATTGCTTTAGAAGAAACTTTAGGTTAGATTGTAAATATTTTTATTATTTTTTTGTTGCACCAATTGTCTTTGATTGCATTTAAATGTCACTTCACATTGGATTTCATATCTTTTATTATTCTTGTATTGTACCAAGAATCTTCAGCTAGTTTTTTAAGCCACTTGATTCTAAAAAAAAACTTAAATCAATTATGATATTAATAAAAAAAAAAGATTAAAAAATATATAATTTTCATATTTAAACTAGAAACACACATATATATATATATATATATGTATTTATTTATTTATTTTTATATTAAAATATCTTTGTAATAATATTTTTTATTATATTTTTAAAAATAATATAGATTTTATATCTTAAAATTCAAACATTTAATTTTTAGATTATAAATCTGCATATAATTCTCTTAATATTTCCATGGCCTTAGACAAATAAGAAACTTTTTTAGATTTAAATATTCTTCTACAATAATACATCTTTGTTTTAGTAATTATACAAGATTGATAAATAAAAAATTATAAAAAATTATGTATTTTATTATAGAAAATATATTTTACATACATACATACATACATAGAATATATTTATATTTATACCTCATTCTTTCTTTTTTGTTTCTATTGTTTTAAACTATAATAAAAAGATGCCAACAATTTACTCATAGCACTATCCATTCAAATTAAAACAATTATATATATATATATATATATATATATTCTTTTTATAGCTTTATTTTAAAAATATTTTCTTACTTTTTACAAGCTCCAGATAGACTATCTACTTAAATCTGAAGTTACACATCTATCTTATTTAAAACTCGGTTTTCTAAATTTCTCAAATTTGGATAGTTTCGAAATGGCAATGCCACTTTTGAAAATCAATTTGCTTGCTACAATTTTGATCAATGTGGTTTCTTTCATATTTGTATTCAAATATCCTTGAAAAAAAATTCCAAATAATTCTCCACCATCAACTATTCAGGATGTAAACATAAGAATCTAAAGGCAATCTTAATCTATTCAAACATTCTCTATGATAGGTTTTTGTTCAACATCATGAATTACATTCACAATTTCTTATAAAGGTCAAACCATGCTTCTGTTGCCTTTGACAAGTCTTGAGTAGAAATGAGTGTCTTGTGTTTTTTAAATAAATTTTAATACTATTAAAAAACCTACGTTGATCTTGTATCTAGATCAAGTGCAGTGTTGCATGACAAGACATATCTGTGGTACATTAGTAGTTTAAGAAACTGCAATAAACTATTGATGTAGTTTACCTATTCCTTCCCTATTCTTAATAAAACCAGAAAAATAAACAATTTGATCAGGTTTTTAATCATTAAAAAAATCAAATAGAAACAAAAAAGAACAAAAAGACGAGGTACAGAAAATACTCAGTTTAATGTGACGTATGGGTCAATGGAAGAGGAACGTACCGAAGCAAAGAAAGTAAAGGCGTTTACATATATGCATTTTTACACATGTTTATTAATAAAGTGTTTAAAAAAAAGGGGAAGGGGGAGACATACATGGGTAGCAGGCAAAGGAAAGTCACGCTGGCTTGCCTTTGAACCACGAAAGAAAAGTGGTGAAGTTCTGGACGCAAACAAGTCTTCTTACAACCACAACAGTGAACCAGCAAAATCCTCTTTTTGCATGCATTACGTCTTTGAAATGAACACAACTATCCATCAGAATCATGAAACATTGTCTGAGGTGGAACTAGCTTCTATCTGCACTTAACCTGGTCAAGATCCCTCGGTGGCCCACCTCTAGTCAAGTACCGCCACCATGCCCAATACATTGCTTGCCACACTCATTTACTTACTTGGCCGGAGTTCCATGTGGAAGCATTGCATCAGCTTCTTCCTAATTCAGGGGAATTTGCAACGGTTAGGTTTTGTTGCACGATTTGCAAAATCGATCGTGATGGTACCTGCAGGTTATGGCGGCGTCTCCGAGTTTCCTTTCCTTGTAAGACTTTTTCTTACCTTTTATGTGCCGATGCTCATGCTTCGGAGTGTTCATTTTTTCGGGTTGACTTCAAGCACTGATGGTATGTGTTCACAGAGAAACCGGTGGTGAGACTATGAAAATTTTAGCTCTTTGCAGAAGTTCGCGGTGGCGGTGCTTGGAGTGTACTTCGTTGCGGTGCTTATTCGCGGAGCGAGCAGGAAATTGCCTCCGGGACCGGTTGGTTTTCCCATCATAGGCTCAGTCCATTTGCTCGGCCCCAGAAGTCATGTCAGTCTCGCACAGCTTGCGAGGAAGTATGGCGCGCCGTTGATGTCGCTGTACTTGGGTCAGAAGCTGTTTGTCGTGGCGTCGTCAGCTGAAGCTGCGATGGAGGTTCTTAAAAAGCAGGATGCGGTGTTCTGCTCGCGACCGCCACTTAGAGGATTCAAAGTGATCTTTCCTCACGACGTGACGTTCGCGGATCTTACTCCTGAATCGAACTACCTAAGGAAGTTTATTCGGTTGCATCTGACAACCGCGAGGAGTATTGAAGCCTTCCAGCATATTCGAGTTGATGAGATGCTACAGATGGTGCGATCTATTGTTGCGTCTCCTAGAGATGTGGTCGTGAACCTGAGGACAAGCCTGGAGGTGATGACGGCTAATGTTCTCACTCGTTCGATTATTGGGAAACGGTTCATGGGTCGGACGGGGTTAAGTGAATCCGAAAAGAAGGAGATCATGGAATTTATTCACATCGCTGCAGAGATAGGCGAGTGCTTGGGTGCAAAGAATCCTGGAGACCTCATCCCCGCCCTCAAACTGGTCGATTGGAATGGACTGGACCAGCGTATGAAAAATCTCCGACGTAAGATGGCAACGTTTCTCGCAAACATTGTCAGGGAACGACGTGAGAAGAGTTCATTGGGGACGTCAAACCCGCCCGGCAAGGAGATGCTTGGTGTGCTCTTGGATGAAATGGAAAATGCTGCTGCCGGAGAAAAAATCACCGAGGACATTCTAAATACCATCATCTGGGTAAGCAATCTCCGCCCTGTCACATCCCTAAGCTCTAAACCCAACATTAGAAGTCGACAGTTGCACATCTAATTCTGTCGATGTCGTGTGGCTGTCTCGCAAAAATGCCAGGAATCTTTTACAGCCGGAATGGAGACAACTGTTCTAGCAACCGACTGGACCTTGGCGGAGGTTCTCCGCAATCCGGAAGTATTACAGAAATGTCAAGCAGAACTCGACGCAGTGGTAGGACGGAACCGAAGAGCCCAAGAATCAGACATCCCAGACCTGCACTACATCAAGGCGGTTGTGAAGGAATCATTTCGGCTACATCCCGTGATCCCCCTGCTCATACCGCATTATTCGCATGACCCAATTAAGGTCTTGGGGTACGACATCCCCGCCCACACACAGCTCTTAATCAACGTGTGGGCGATCGGAAGGGACCCCAAGGTATGGGCTGACCCACTCAAGTTTCATCCGGAGCGTTTCCTAGAAGGGCCACATCGCGAGACTGAAATGTTCGGCAAGAGCTTTAATCTCTTGCCGTTCGGATCAGGCCGCCGGGCATGCATGGGCATAACGTTAGGCACACTCCTGGTGGAAGCCAGCGTCGTTGTCCTTCTCCACTCTTTCGATTGGATTCTGCCAGCAGAGGGTATTGATATGACCGAAGGACAGGGCCTCTCGGTCCGTAAGAATGTTCCGGCGTGCGCGTTTGCCACTCCTCGACTGCCACCCCACGTCTACGCCGAATGAAGTTTGAAAAGGCCCGCTACGACACAAAGTTTCTATTGAAGTCTTAACACATTCACTCACAGAAACACAGATTGTGACTACTATTACTGTGCAAATGTACTTGATTCATTTATGCAGAAGCTGCCTTCTCGTCACAGCAGCACTACTAGCTGAACTCTAGGCTAGCGGGATCACAAGCTTGATGTAAAGAATAATTACTCTAAACTGTACAATAGCCAATGTATCGGTAATTATGATTTACACTCGAATGTAGTGAGTTGAATGAACGCATTTATCCAACACTCCGGCTTGTTCAATTCAACTTTCTACGTCCGAATGTTATTGATCATATCCTACACTCAGTCGTTGTGGAAAGTGGTAATACCGAGTGTAGTGCGTAGTTGGACAAAGTGATGGAGGAAGTGCTTTTGTAAGAATATGAGCGACTTGGTCACGAATCAAAACGTAGTGAAAATCAATTTGTCGTGTCTCTTACAGCTTGCGAATGAAAACATACTTGATGTCAATATTTTTAGTTTGTTTCTGGAAAACCGGGTTTTTAACAAGTGCAATGGCGCCTTGGTTGTCACTTGAAACAATAATCGATGGATGTTGGGTTATTGCAATATTGTTTAAAAATCGGGTTAACCAAATGGCCTTTTTGGTCGTCTCAGCTATTGCGAGTAATTTTGCAGCCATGGTAGAGTCTGCTGAACATGATTGTCGATGACAAGTCCATGAGATGGCTCCATTGGCTGGCAAAAAAACATACCGGATTCATCTTTTTCAATCATCAAGATCACCTACAAAATATGAATTGAAATAATCTCAAAAGTGTAGATTATATGTTTTCCAAAACTAAATTTTCGATGTCATTGTTTGTTTAAAATATCAAAGGATTTTTTTTAATACATTTTAATAAGAATTTTGGTAGATGTTGATATTGGACCACCTTGTTGTGTACAAAAGCAATATCAAGACAAGTTAAAACCATAGCATACATCAAAAAACACACAACTTAAGATTATGGTACAATTATAATTGAATCTCCTTGTAAATCAACAAAAAGAGAAATACTAGGTTTTGCAAAAGTTGATATTGGGTTACAATCTTGCATATTGAAATGGTTGAAGATGTCAATGATATATTAGTGCTAATGAAGAAAGATCAATTGATGAAGTCAATGACATTAGATTTGAAAACCAACAAAATAATTAAGATGACCAATTCTAAATTTAAATGTTGCTTCAAATTAATTAAAAATTTGACAAAATCTAGTTGGAATAAATAAATAATTCTATCATTTACATAAATTCCAACAATAGTAAAGAGTGATCTATTATAATTGATATAAATATAAGAATTGGCAATTAAAAGAAAAAGATTGAGTTGTTTTAAAAATAAATCAAACTTCTTGTTCTACTGTTGGATACTTTGTTTTAGTCTATAGATGCTTGATGGGAGTTGATAATATAATAGTTTTGGTGAAGGTTTGTAAAAACTGAGTGGTTGTTGTACATAGATCTCTTTTTGCAAGTCATTGTTGAAAAAGGTAGTATTCTTGTCAAATAGTTTGAGCTCCATATCTTAAGCAAAAGAACAACAAATAAAACAAAAATGGAATGACGTTTTACAACTAGGTTGAAAGTCTTATAATTAAACAATATCTAATTTTTGAATAAAATCTTTGGCAATAAGCTAGGCTTTATATTTTGGAGATCACTAATAGATTTGTATTTAATTTTATATTTTGACTTGCAATGAATTAAATTTTATTTGGATGAAAGAGGGTGTAAGTCTCAAGTATGTTTTTCAATTAACAAATCATTCTTGGATATACCTCTTCTATTCATTGAACAAAGTTATTAGAAACAAGAGTCTGGTTGTACATTTGAGATTTAAGGAATGACTCACTTATTGTAGCAAGACAAACAACAAAATTGAGATACAAATAAACGAAAGTGTTCATTGTATAGAAAGATCTAGGACGTGGCACAAAATTCAAAATGTTTGGCATAGATAGATAGCATTGTTGTCTATGCAAGATTGAGAAATCTTTGATTGAATCATCTTATAAAGTAGAAACAAAATTTTGTGATAGAGCTTGAGCTTCCACTCATCTATTGTCTTCCATTGTTTTAGAATTATAAAAGTTAATTTTTTTTAAAGGATTTAAATAGAATAATATTCAATGTCGTGTCAAAGATAGGATTGGATCCAAAACATAAATTATTTCTTTTGATATTGTTGAAAGAGGATGCAAATTAAATTCAACAAATAAAGATAGTAGATAATTAAAAATAAGAAAAGTATAAAAATTGAAATAGTAGGAAGTCTTATCAAATCTTACATTAGAGATTTTATCAACTTTATTGAGAACCAAATCCCAAAATCTATAAGCATTATAAGATGAAGAATGTCTAACAAAAATTAGTAGTGTGTTTTTTTATTTAAGCTTTGAAAGTTTTTATTTATTCATGTGTATATATACTAGAGAGTCAAATATTTTGTTATGAGATACCAAGGAGTTAAACCAAACTACTTTTCAAAAGATGTTTTTTTCTAGTTTAGAAGTTATTTGTTTGGTTTAAATTGTAAATTTCCATATTAATAGCTTTGGCCTAGAAATAAAGACGTAATATCTTCTTATATAATATAGATATCATAGCTTCAAATATAATATGATTATCTCTTCTAACATGACCATTTTGTTGGAAGGTGCAAATAATATTGAGTTGGTGATAAATTACATAGTCATGAAGATTTTTTTTTTGATAATTAAGTTATAATTATGATTTCCTTAATGTACCCAAATTTCCTTTACAAAAGTAGTTTTTTTTGTTGTATAATCTTTAGAACATGTCAAAACTAATCAAGAGCTTCAAATTTTTATTTTAAAAAATGAATAAGATGTTGCATTATCTTTAAAAAGCATAAAATACTAACAACCATTAATAGATTAAATATTTAATTTATTAGAGATGTTGCCATATAGAAACTTACTTAGAACAAAGGTTTTGATCTTATTGTTATTGTGTCAATAAATAGATTTAGTATACTTTCAAAGCATACAACCATAACAAAGAGAATATTTTGTTGTTGTATTGTTCAAGTCAAAACCAAAATGAAATGATGAGTAAATATTTTTTTTATAACTAAACCATTGATATGAACCATTTATTTCTATTATAAATTACTATGATTAATTTGAATATGAGCCAAAATAATACCAATAGTAATGATTAGTGATTCAAGATAATTATTTTTCAAATATGTAGATTTTCAATAGATTTTTTTTGAGATAACAAATGGCTTTAATAAAAACACTATTATAAAAAGTTAATATAAGCAATTGACTTATTGTCTTCTAAAACCATATTTCTTGTTTTGAATAAAAACTTACAAGCTCCAAGTATAGTTATAAATGAGGTACCAACTTCAAAAAAAAATCAAATAGGGAAAAGATTTTGCACAAGCAAAGGAACATAATTTATATTTGCAAGAAGTCCAAATAAAAAAATATCATGGACTTACATATTATATAATTGTTACCTCAACTATGGATCCAAAGTTTGCAACCATTGGTGATTGTTATGAGCCAACTATCTTTTGTAATTTGAGTGAATGTACCAAATCATTTATAGAGGTTAGTCATATGTTCACTAGCAACAAAGTCAACATATCAAAATTCACCATGCAATAATATTGAATAAGCGTGCAATGAAGAGATAGAAATTATAAACATAAAATTAGAATTCTCTAAAGTAGAAACAAATAATAACTTATCATGAGTTACTTTACCATTAACAAAGTTGAAATAATAATAATAATAAAGACTCTCAAAAATGTTAGTTTTAGTAATTTTATTTGTAGATGGTAAGTTTTATTAATTCTTCTTCTTTGATTTTTTTCAATCTATAGACCAATGATTTTTTTTTTTTGTTGTAGTTAATATAATATATATAATTATTCAAGCCTTGAATGTATTGTACATCATATTGATGTTTTTCTTGATAAGTTATTGGTCCAAATTTTGGAACTTGTCTATAGGTAAAAAATACAAGACAACTTGGATCATCTTGTGCACCTTGAATGTGAAGGAGGTGTTCATGCCAAAGTAGTTGATCTTGTAATTTGAGAACAATTTGTTGTTCTTTTAGTACATTTGTCTAAGTAGCAAGTATGCTATTATAGCTAGGAGGAAGACCCAACATAGTTTTTGAAATCAACATATTCTTTGATATCTCATGTTATAAATATTTTAACAACAAAGCTATATTCTTGATATTTTGAATATGTGAGATGATATCAATTTGGAACATTTTGTAGTTGTAAAACTTACCTTGTAAACATTTTTGGTAGTCTATTGAAGGTAGATAGAACATAGTTTAGTCTACATAGACTTGACTCTGGAGCAACTTGTTAGTTTGGAGAGGATAGGCAAGGATAATCCAAAGGTGATTAATATTTGTGTATCAGCATTTTGTTGATCCCATGTATCAATATAATTTTGTATCTATGGATTATTTTTGATTGATGGCATAATAGGTTGGCAATAAATAAAATTGAAATTGAAAGAGAAGTAAGAAAAAAATTAACCAGATGTAATTGTGTTACAGGAGGCGTAGCCTGTTCAAGTTGTAGAGGCCTATAACCTATTGAAGTTAAATACTTTGTCACAGAAATACACAACAGTAACACAGATTGTGACTACTATTACTGTGCAAATGCACTTGATTCATTCATACAGAAACCGCTTCGAGTCACTGCAGCACTACTAGCTGAACTCTAGGCTAGCGGGATCACAAGCTTGCAGTAAAGGAGAATTACTCTAAACTATACATTAGCCTATATATCGGTAGTTATGATTTACACTCAATGTAGTAAGTCGAATGGACGTATTCATCCAACAGTTCCCCAGTTGTCCTAAATCAATTGTCTTCTCCAACATGAACCAAATTCTTTCGTTTTATTGCGGTTTCCTTGATTGATTGTGGGGAATTGGCCCGTGGCTATTCTAGAATTTGCGGTGAACACATGTGTGTCTGGCATTGGTTGCAGGATTGCTAGTGGAGCAACTTTTTTCACCGTAAAAGGGCTCCAAGTAGAGAAAATACAGTACAGAGTTGGTGTTTCCGGCTGCAAGGCTTATGTAGCCTAATGGTTTGTGAATCCTTCAAGTGACGAACGCTGAATGTCTGGATTATTCCTAATCTCTTCACCTAATTGAGTGTGTGAGCGTCCTGCAAACAGATGCGCATCAGAGGTAAGCCCCAAAAGGTTGTGTGTTCGGTACACTCTGGATTTTGAGATATTGGAGATAAACAACAAAGTTTCACAAGAGAAATAATATTTGTAGCTACAAATTCAAACATGTGGAGGTTATGTCTGAATTGTGCCCAAGTTGAACGTAGTCAATCAAAAGTAACGGTGTAGCGCCGATGAGGTTGAGCTTAGATCGTGCATTCGCACTCAGTCCGAGACTTCGCCATGCTAGAGGAAAGAAAGAATCAACTCCTTCTGAACGAGGGAATTGAGAAATTGAACACATCACTGAATGAGGTTGACCAAGATGCGTTCTCCAAAATATCAGCAAGAGGCGTCGACTTCAGAATCAATTGAGTTGAATGCATGCCAATCATCAGAGCCGGGTATTAAAACCAATCAATCAAATTAATAGCTCTTCTTTTTGCTGGGTAACGTAGACGCAGAGACACACAGGATAATCTCACACAGAGCCCACGGACCGAGGAAAGAGGCACTCAAATCAAAGGAGCAGACAAGAGACTAATTCTAGAAATCACCCAACGCTCTAGCTCCGCAAATGGTTACTTAATGGCGAGAGAAAGAATCGTCTCAAAACAATATACAAGCTTCAATGACGGATTTGAAGAGGATGACGAGCGAGGGGAATGAGTTCCGAGAGCGGGGTGGAGATGGGCGTGGTGAGGGGAGTGGGAAGCGGGGAGGTGCGGCACATAGGACAAGAGGCGTGCAACCGCAGCCACGCATCAATGCACGGCGCGTGGAACATGTGTCGACACTCCGGCAGCATTCGTAGTATGTCGCCGTCCTTGTAATCTCCGAGGCAGATGGAGCAGGAGTTGTCTTGAAGGTTGAGGGGCGGTTGGGAGGCCGTGTACACCACTTTGGGGTACGACTCCACAGTGACTTGGTCGAGCCCGCTCGTAGACCATTCTGTCAACGGATTGCCATGTGCGTCATCTCCTCCGGAATGGTAGGCCGCCGGGCCAGCGGAGTTGCCGCTTTGGCTGCCGCTGCTGGTCTGGTGCACGCGCACACATACGTAGGATGCCAGCATGATGGTAGAGACGAGCACAAGTATTCCCACCGCAATAGCGATTCCATAGCCTAGCCCCACTTTGCTCAGGTTCACTTGCATCGTGGTAGTGTTGCTGAAATTCATTCTCTTCTTTCATCCCAAGCCTCTCGCGGCCTACTCGATGGCAGTGTGCGAATGCAGGAAAGTTGATAACAAATCCGATTCCCATGCCCCTGTACTCCCGTCCCTATCTATCAGCATGCTGTCCACCACTACTAATGACATCACCTGGCCATTTCGTGACAGCTAGGTCATTGCAGCCATGTGTAGAGCACTTGCCAATGCATGCGAAGCGGATAGATGCTGATGATTAGCGGCATTTCTAACTTCCACCCATGGTCACCAAAGCACTGTGCCAAACCCTTCACTACTAAATGCTACTCCGTGAAGGTCCAAGAGAACGCCAAGGAAGAAATCCCAACTGCTAAACTCAAACATGAGCTTGCAGCACTTCAACGTCTCGCCAACGCTAGCTTGCAACGCATCCAATCTAGGTGAAGCTACACACATTCATCGCTTGCTTTCGGAAGGGAGGAATAACCGCACGTGAAATACAATAACGCAAGAACAAAGCAGTTAGGAGAGTGGAAGGCCCAGAATGACGATATCTGCTTGGTCAACAGCAGCAGCAGAACGGATCATCGCGAGTTGTTCCAACCGAGACGTCCAACACAAACACTGAAATTCATTCAAGGGCGGCCCAAACTCCAATGCAGAGAGTGACCACACCGGCAAGACGTTCAGCATACCAGCAATCACAATAGCTGCAGCTCCATTGCTCCTCGCAGCTCCACGTCGATCACGGCACATCAAACACGGAAACAACAAGCAGCCGGTGTGCCGAGAAGAAGCTAAGAAGCGGTGCACTGTTAGTGCGAAGTGGTAGTGCACACAGCCCACCTCACTCGACCTGCCACTGCAGTACGAACATCCCAGCTCGACGCTCAAGTACAAATCTACAAGCCTTGTTTTGTGCCCTTTTGTCTGCTTACCTGTGCGCCTCGCCTCCAATCAGTCGGCCATGGACCCCACCTCCACCACGAGTTGGCAACATCGGCACTGCACTGCCAGCAGCCCAATCAAGGACCAAACGCTTCCAGCATTGCACAGCAACTTTAATAACCTGCCAATTGACAGGACCTGGAGATAGGCCTCCACAACACCGGCCAAGTGAACATTCTCACAGGATTCTAGAAATGCCCTACGGCCACAGTAAAGAGCTCAATCCATGAACCATCCAACAAGACAAAGCTGGCAGTGAATTTTCTCGTATGCGGTGTGCAAAATGGCTGCGGCAAGTAAACATGCTTGTGATTGCGAATATAAATGCGAAGTTTGTTGCAGAACTCAGCCCATTACTTGATTAGCGTCTTATTCAGAACTTTGTAAAAAACCAATGCCTCAGGTTCGTTCAACTAATTCTGCCAGCTTCGTGTGTTTTTTGCTGTTTGTGTTTGGGAGCTAGCGCTTGGTCTAGTTGATGCTTCCATGAGTTTTGTACTGCTGCTTGCTGGTTTTTTCTGTGCAGAGGTGATGATCAGGTGCAGGCTAAGGCCACTTGAAAGCATTATTACATGAGCTGGGTGGGTTTTTTTCTGGTTGGATTCATCCACAACTAATTATTTTTGGCTGGAGGAAAGATGGAGAGTGCAAGTTGCTTTTTTTGCACTGTTTGGGAGTTTGTCTTGCTGTGGGGTGGATTGGATTGTGCAGCAGAAAAATGTAACTGCATGGCGGCAGATACTGCCATTGGTCATCAGTTGATAACTCCTTCGAGTTTTTTAATGTGGTTGCTTAGAATTGACATTTTTGTGCTTAGCATCGAGACTTATCCGTTGTAAATGGTCCTGGCAAGATTTGAGTGATTGTAGCTGGTATCTATCTAAATAGTGAGGATTAACTAATCACACAAAGATCTCATCCGAATTTAAATCGATTGATTTATGAAATAACATGACATTATAATTTTATATCATAATAAAAATGTAAACAATCCATGACATTTACATTAATTAGTTGATATAAAAACTGAATTGTATTTTATAACCAACCGTGAGAAATGTGGCTATGGCCAAGTAGCATTTAAATTCCCTTTTCCATGTGCTACTAATTTGATAGTATAATTTTCTTTTTTATATAGTATTTTGTAATTTTTCCATACAAAAGAATTTAAACTTCTTTAGCAACAAAATTAGTCACAAACCAAAAATGTCATTATTGAGTTGAACTTGTATACACGTATATATATATATATATATATATGTATGTGTCAATGTAGTTCAAAAAAGTAGAATGGTTGGTACAATTCTAGGATAATTTAAACCTTGATTAGGATTACTTGGTCTAAAAAAAATATTTCAAATTAATGAATGAAACTGCTATTATTCATAAACAAATGCATTATCTCAGATTTTAGTATAGGAACCCAAATTTTTCTTATGAATGTATTCTAAAGGACAAGATAGTTCCTATATTTTTATTTGATGTGTATAGCTATATATATTTTTATAAGGTATAAAGTGAAGGTTCTTAACATTCGTTTTTTTATTAATAATATAATCACACACTAATAATTAAAAAATTCTATAATTTTTTTGTAATGTAAAAAATAAAAATAAAACTAAAAAGCAGATCAATTTACAATAAAGTGTTTCTGCAAAAGAGATAACAAAATATTTAACTAAAAACGTATATTGGTACAAAATCTTCAAAATTGTATCCTAATTTTTTTATGTATATACATATTTAAAGGGTGCTTAATTTCTAAGACATGTGACTGATTTCATAAAACTAAATAAAAAAATAAATTAAAATTAAGCCTTAATGTCAAAAGCTGAATTTGTTTTTATATATTTTTTTAAGTAATTATGGCTAAAATGGTATACCTTAAAGTAGCATATCTTATATTTATACACCTTAAAATAGTTTACTCATTTCCACAGCCATTTTAAGGCACTACCACATAGCATAATTTAATTTAATTGCATTTAGCTACATATCATGCACATGTAATTTACATGCATGGTGATAAAACATGTACCCATCATACTAAACAACAAGAAGATTATTATTCATAAAACTTCTGCTTTCTACTAAGAGAGAAAATAATAATAATAATAATAATAATTGATAGAACAAACTCTTTATAATTAATTAATTAATTAATTGCTTAATTAGATCTATAATTAAAAAGTAAAAAGGTGTTGTGTAAAGAGGAAAAAAGGGGGGGTACAATAGTATAAAAAGTAGAAATTGAATGTTTCTTGCATTTAGAATATTTTATTTCAATATCTAATCTACAATTCTTTTACAAATCAAAATCAAAATCTTATTGAGTAACTTTCAAGTATAATATGAAATTGTTAAAAAGTGAAGATAGAAATATTATATTACTATGTCATGATTGATTTATACTATTTTTTACACACATGTATCTTTGTACAGTTTTGGAATTTCCTACATCACCTTCTTACAATCGACAACGTTTGATATGTTTCTTACTTACTGACGGATTTTAATTTGAAGTATTTTTTCCAGATATTAAGTACACATACATTAAGATTAACTTTACATTTGATATTCCTTACCTTTCAAATTTTATTTTTTGAAAAAATCGATCCAAAATATCTTAGTACATTCTATCATTGCATATTCATATCAATGAACGAAAAATACATTAAATTATACTACTGTGTTTCAAAATATCATTATTATGTTGTATAAATGATGAGTGTGAATGTCATTTTTGATATATTTTACATCATAGCATATCTACACTCCATCTAGAATCTAACCAGGTTATACATAAATTAATTTGTTAATCATATTAGCTCATATCTTCAGCCCACTGTAACTTGACTTACATTGTAAAACATAGATTGTTGAGATATGACTTTGGGTTGGTTGGTTGAAAGGTGGTCCAAAGAATGCATCAATGAAAAATGCATCATAAATTGAACTCTCACTTTGTTTCACATCTTGTGTTGTATTTCTCATAGTCACAATTGTAAGAATTTAGGCTATTGTGATCAAAATGTACCTAGTAAATAAAATAAAGATTGAATTGGTTGTTTAGTTTGTAATTGATTATGATAAACTCCTAATGCTTTGTAGGATTTATGGACTTGGTTTTCAATTGAGAGAAGTTTTGACCTTTTTTTCTTTACAAAGATGGCATTGGCTGGAATGACATTGGTAGGCACCATGTGTGATACAAATGTATTTCTAATTATTATAAGTCACAAGTTTTTTTTAAAGTGAATTGAAGCTCATTTCAAGCACACTACTGCATTAGCATAAGTGCACTCTTTTTGACCATTTCGAAATTCAACCCTATATGTTGACTATAATTTGTAGTTTTAATATCTGGTTCCAGTAACATGATGGCCTAACATAAATTTACATGTTATCAAATCTTACTAAGTACTCTGGTTGCCATTACATTCATGTTTTAAAAAATGTAAGAAAAATAAATTTAAGAGCAGCACACCATGTCAATAAAACCATGGTTTTGTGGCATTTAAGTTGAAACCAAGACTGATTTCTAAGTGTCAATATTTATAAATGTTTCAAAATCAGATTTAATATATATATATATATATATATATATATGTATATATATATATATATATACAAAGTAGTGTTTTTTGAAATTTATTCTTTACACAATATGGGGTATCAAATCATGAGAATGGGTGGATGAAATTCTTTTTTAAAGAATTAGGGACCCAATGATACAATGTCAACATGGAATCTATGAGAGGATATAACTTGTTGGAAGGAAATGAGGAAGATGAAGTATAATTCATGAAGAATATTAAATGAATGTACAAAACCCACACAATGTTGTCTCTAGTCTTGTCTTCACTTTGAAAATAGCAACTAGTGAATCAAATTATTCGATAAAACCAAATTCAGTTTACACAAAGAAAGTCACCTACTATTAAATCCCAAATTTCCTATTGACCCATGTTTATTTTCTTAGAAAGTTTCTTTGATAGAATCTTTCTTATCAAATGCCCACAACTATAAAAATGTTGACACTGCAAAATCATTGTCTTGTAAGTGGATCATAAGACTGTTTGCAATGGCGTGATTGGAAAATGTTGGCTTTTGCAGTTAATGGGTTAAGGGAGTGTGCAGCTTACCATTAAAATTGTGAAGGGCCTTGATGTTTGCATGCCACCCAGGAAAAAAGACCTTTTTCCTTGTACTTCTCTCTTTTTTTATAATTTCCATCCTACACTTTCAACTCAAAATCCAAGCCCACTGCAGCTCCTAACCCTAAACCCTTAACCTGCCCCTTGTTTGTTTAGACTGTGATTTAATCTGTCTCATTCTCTTGCATCATCTGTTAAAAAAATTAACTAATATAAATGTCATGCATCACCTGTAATCCACAATTCATACATTCTCTTCTATGTAAATGTTTTTTTATAACTAAATAAGTAAATCATGTATATATATATATATATATATACGAGGAATTGTTAAATACTTGGGTTAATTTAACCATTCACTACATATATATGTGTGTATATATATTTACGAATAATTTTAGTATAGGATTAAGAATGCCACATTTTGAGAGACATAAGTCCAATACATAAGTTGGATCCATGTTGCCTTCAATCACTGTTTCCCATGCAAGCAAAGATTGATGACCCTAGCTTGAAAACCAAGCAAAAATTGCAAAGATTCTACCTGCATGTGCGTAAGGGATCATATATATATATATATATGTATATCTATATATTTATATTCACTTCATACAAATTCACACACACAACAAAGATAGAAACAGAGGAATGATAGGGAATACCCTCATTAATCAGGCCCACATGGAGCATGACCACCATGGTTTGTTTTTCTTGTTAGGAAAGCTCCACTCAGATGCACAGCGAGGATTGGATAAAGTACAAAACAGAAAAAAGAAGAAGAAAAGAATCAAACAAACAAACAAACAAAACAGAAGTGGTAGACGATTAAAGCAAAAAGCGAAAGCAAGCAAACAACCAAACAAACCAACAAACAAACAAAGGGGGGGAGGAAGAGGAGGTGGGATCAAGTGCAGGAGGATGCGAACGAACAGAATATGCCGCGGAGAGACGCGCGGCGCCGCAGGGCACCACGAGAAGACGACGGACGACGCATATCCGAATGTAAGCCCACATTCATCCCACCTGCACAACACACAAACCAACAAACAACCCACCAACCAACCAAAGCAGAGCGAGGGAGAGAAACCAACGCACCTGGACACACTCACACTCACACACACAGAGAGAGAGAGAGAGACGGGCAGACAGACAGACTCCCACTCCGCTGAAGAAGCGCTGCTGCCACCACCGCCTACTTGTCTAGGCAGCCTCCCTCCTCGTTGCACTGCCTCAGTGCCTCATTGCCTTCCCCACGTCACGATTTGCCTCGGTTGCGATTCGCAGTTGCTGCTTGCTGGGCGAGCCAGGGTGACGCTTGAGCAGGAGAAGGAGAGGGAGAAGGAGAGGGAGAAGGAGAGGGAGACCAGAGCGAGAGAGAGCGAGAGAGAGAGAGCGGCGGCATCATGGTGCCGTTAGAGGGCGGCGCTGGGGAGCAGCTTCTGGCCATTCGCTATCGGCGGGGGAGTCTTCAGCTTCTAGATCAAGTGGGTATTTTTCGTTTAGGTTTGAATGCTGCGTGGGCGTGTTTTGAAAAGACCAAGAATCTCAGTAGCGATAGTTTCGGGAATCGTGGGAGCGAATGGATTGTACCTTGGGATTTGCGTTGGTGGGTGGGAATGTGTTTTGATTCCGGTTTGTTTGGGATTTTAATTGTAAGCACGCTGCGTGAAATTGGTTTGTTGTTGGTGGTTGCATTCGACCGGACAGGTTGATTTGTAACTGGACGTTGTTGTTGTTGTTGTTGTGTTTTTTTTTTTTTTTTTTTTTTTTTTTTTTTTTTTTGTGATTGGACCGTGTGTTGCTTTGCAGCGGAAACTTCCTTATGAATCCATTTACAGCGATATCAAAGATGCAGTCGCTGGCTGGTAAGTAGTTTTCTTGTTCTTTGCTTGATTCCTTTGTTTTTACATCAATTTTTTGAAATTTTCTCACTTCGAGTCGGAATCTCTTTGTTCCGTCAATGCGGATGAATCGGAATGACCAATGCTGAGCTATCTGATGAGCAGGGCCGCAATCAGTGATATGGTGGTAAGAGGCGCACCTGCCATCGCTATAGCTGCTGCTCTCGCTCTTGCAGTCGAGGTTGAAAGCTTAAAGCCCTTTTCTGGAGCTGGACTGGAAGCCGTTGCCTTTTTGAAGAATCGTCTGGATTACCTTGTCTCCAGGTTTGTTATTCCTCACTGAGCTCTGTAATAAATTCTTTGCTGACAACAAGATATTACGAATCCGGAGGAGAATTTTGTTTTTTTTAGACAGGGTCCCACGTCATTTCATGCAATCAAGAGAGCGGAAAATTTTATCCTTGAGCTACCTGGTGGCTTTCGAGTTTGAGAAGTGCCAAAAGAGCTGTAGAACTCGAGTCTCTTCGTGAAGCCTGAAATTCAAGGGTGTGCCGACATAATGAATTGTTTCACGGCGGGTAGCCGGCCAACAGCAGTGAATCTCGCAGAGGCTGCCACGAATTTGTTGAATATTTGTCAAGCGGTAGCGGATAAAGGCGATGATGCTGAAGCTGTTTACCAGGTCAGAACATTGAACAATTCCCTCTTCCTTTGAAAGCTGTTATAATAGGAAGATAGCTTTTAACCCTTGAGTCAAGATCTCCACTTACGGAGGTCTGATTGAATTGATACCTGTCTGATAACAGGCTTACCTCGAAGCTGCAGAGAAGATGTTAGCTGCTGATGTCGCCTCCAACAAGGCAATTGGCGCTTACGGCGCAGAGGCCCTTTTACAAGCAAAACCTGCTTCAGGCAATGGCATGCGTGTTCTTACTCACTGCAATACAGGTAGTTTGGCCACATCGCAGTACGGGACGGCTCTCGGCGTGATTCGTGCACTTCATGCTCAAGGGAAACTTGAAACAGCCATATGTACAGAGACACGTCCTTACAATCAGGTTGATGCGCATTCAGCTAATCTACATGCTTTGGCCTTTGTGTATGTTTTGTCATTGTAATGCTTTTTGTACTTTAGAAAAGTTATGTAGCTATTATGGACTGCAAACTTTCTGGGCCCAAGTGTCTTTAAACTTGTTTCAAACCTCGTCGCAGGGGTCAAGATTAACGGCTTTTGAGCTAGTGCACGACAAGATTCCAGCTATTCTGGTGGCCGACTCCGCCGCAGCTTCTTTGCAATCCCTAGGTCGGGTGGACGCGGTTGTTGTGGGTGCAGACCGCATTGCAGCTAATGGTGACACTGCCAACAAGATTGGCACATACAGCCTAGCCCTGTCGGCATTCCATCATGGTGTACCCTTCTATGTGGCATCGCCCTTGACAACCATCGACACCGCAACCAAGTCTGGGAAGGAGATCATCATCGAGGAACGGTCACCGAAGGAGCTGACGCATTCTCACGGTGGACAGGGCACGCAAATTGCTGCTGATGGTGTTGGTGTTTGGAACCCGGCTTTCGATGTTACCCCAGCTCGGCTCATCACTGGTATCATAACGGATCAGGTACAGAACAATCCCCAGGCCAGTTCAATGCGGAACTCTGTCTCCTCCCAGATTGATTAATTGTTGACTGACTTAGAATTTGGTGGTGTGAATTCATCAATCTAATTGTTGGTGTCGATTGTTGTCAGGGAGTCATCACCAAGGAAGGGAATTCTGATGTCTTCGACATTCCTTCATTTATTGCAAGATCCAAAGATGAACGTTCACCTAGTTTGAAGACTGATTCAAAGTCTAGTGGTCTTCAAGTATCGAAGGAAGGAGACTTGCATGCCAATTTTAAGCCACTGAATGAGTCATTGGTGGCAAGCTACGTGAAGTCTCAACCTCGGTTGGGAGCGATACTGGGTGGCACAAGCGCAGATTGGAGTGTTAAGGAAGTTGGAGACGGGAATTTGAACTTTGTTTATATTTTGGAAGGTCCCAAGGGCTCCTTTGTTCTGAAGCAGGTAGTGATATATTCCATGCATTTGAATGCTATCCTGTCAATGTCGTGAACGTTTGAGTTTCTCTGAGACTGCTTATTTGAATGCAGGCTCTCCCGTACGTGCGCTGTGTTGGGGACTCTTGGCCAATGACATTGGAGCGTGCTTTCTTCGAAACCACTGTGTTGCGAGAGCACCGTCGACTGGCGCCGAATCATGTCCCTGAGGTCTACCATTTCGACCACCCTATGGCTCTAACTGTCATGGAGTACCTGGCACCGCCTCACATAATCCTCAGAAAAGGCTTGATCGCAGGCACTGTGTACCCTCTTCTGGCGCAGCACATGGCAGAGTACATGGCGTCAACTCTTTTCCACACTTCTTTGCTTGCTCTGTCGACATTACAACAGCGGAAGGAAGGTAAATATCTCAAACTCGTTGAATTCTCACAGAATCAACTCAATTCATCTGTGAACCCAAGTTGGTGAAAAGAGGAACGAGTTTCTGGAGGACGCTTAGTTTGAGGCAGCCCAGCGTATCCTATCGTATGATTAGTTTTTCCAATTTGTGTTGTAGTAATCTTAGGCATTCACTGTCTGTGGTTGCAGTGGCACGTTTTTGTGGCAATATAGAAATGTGTCGGCTAACCGAGCAAGTTATTTTTACGGAGCCTTACATGGAAGCTTCCAACAATCGGTGGACTTCCCCTCACCTTGATGCTGATGCCCAAGCTTTGAGAGAAGACGCAATTATTAAACTTGAAATCGCTGGTCTTAAATCAAAGTAAGAATCGCCTTCCGATCCTCATCATTTGTTTCCTCACCTGGTTGGTTTAACCCATACAGCTATGATCAACAACAAATTGGTCACTTTGCATCATGAGTACACTTTTCGGTTGGGTAAAAATTTTTTTAGCCCTAGAATAATAAGTTGACACACCTCTTAAATCTTACCATCTATTTTAAGAAATCTTTCTTAATTATTGTGAGCATAGTTTAAATTCAGTAGCCAATGGTAGTATTTTTGGTATCTTATTTATTTAGTATTGATTCATCATATATTTTTTGTTGAACAGATATGTGCAGCCTCATGTATTTAGAACTCATCCAAGTTTTTGAGAGCTTGAGAAAATGTTCCACACTGATTAGTAATCTACAAAATTTCATTTAAAATAGGTATCGATACTCAATAACACCAATGCATTATTTTCCCTTTTTTGCATACTAATCTGACGTTTTCGACAGGTTTTGTGAAAAGACGCAAGCATTGCTGCACGGGGATTTGCATACAGGATCCATTATGGTTACACAGGAGTCCACAAAATGCATTGATCCGGAGTTCGGGTTCTATGGCCCTATGGGCTTTGATGTGGGGGCTTTCCTTGGCAATTTGATGCTAGCATATGTATCTCAAGATGGTCATGCGACTTCTGAAAATGATAGAGAGGTATTGAAGTTTCTCTTGACCCACATAATACGAAGCAAATTCTTCTGATTTTGTCTGGTTTGTTGGTTAAAGGGTAACGAGTCACTTCGCTTTGACATAATTGACCAGTATGAACTAGTTCTGAGAATTTGTTTTACTTGGGTTTACTTGCACTGCAGGGATACCAGCTCTGGTTGCTGAAAACGATGGGCGACACTTGGCAGCTTTTCTCGGAGAGGTTTGTCGCCCTCTGGGATAAAAATTGGGGTGCTGGAGACTCATACAAGATTGAGGTGTACAACACGAAGGAGCTTCAGTCTCTTGTCCAGAAAACGTACTTGAGCGAGTTGTTCCAGGACAGTCTTGGCTACGCTGCTGCCAAAATGATCCGGAGAATAGTTGGTATTGCTCACGTTGAAGACCTAGAATCCATCCCTGATTTAGAGAAGAAAGTCGCATGTGAGCGGCGAGCTCTGAACTTTGCCAAGCAACTTCTCAAAGAGAGATCGAAGTATTCTGATATTAGACAAGTTTGTAACGCTTTGCAGGGTAGCCAATAAGAGACCATAGGACCATAGTGAGTACAATTCGGACATAGTTTTGTAATTTAGGTATTGACACAACAACACGTCACAAGGACTAACTCTGGTTAAAGTTTTCCAGTGTAAACTAAAGCAATGAATTATGTCTTGCTAATTTCTTTTTTCCATTTGTGACTTACATGCCTCAAACACTATCCAAATCTTCGAAAACTACAGTGTGAGTGGACTTGTACTTGAAATACTTCCGTTTGTCACCATCAACGACTTCACGCTAACTGAGCGAGATTCCCCACACCCACAAATTCTAATGAACCTGGACTGATCCCATGAATGAGGGCAACAAAGACCTGCGCTGAAAACATTCCAGAAAAAGGAGAAGGTTTTTCTGGTCTTTCTTTTCTGTAAGTTTGTGTGGGATGTCAATGTAATTTCAGAGATTAGAGTAGCAGTGAAGGTAGTAGAGAGAGAGAGGCTCAAATGTAGCTGAAAAAGTGACATAGCAAGGATACATTTAAGTAAGATTAGGGTTTCTAAACAATAAATGACATGCTTCTGAACCAGCAAGCAGGGGTTGGGATGATTGGCAACAGTGGAAGAGGAGGGGATCGAAGATACAACAACATGCAAATCATGGTTTACGAGTAAACTTTACTCCACTTAATAGAAAAACGAAAACAAAAAAGTATTTTATCTAGAATGAATTTCATTACTGTTTCTCAATTTGATCAATTGTATGCGCACATTTAGCATGAATTAACCTATTCCAACAATCTTCAATCAAAACGAACTTTTCATCGTAAAAACCAAGACACCAAATAAAAAATGCTCCAAGCTTGACAAAATTTAAAAAGTAAAAAGTTTCGATTTTAAGAAAACCAGGTGAACGAACGAGACCATCGGGTCAGCCGGGAAGCAGTGTCAAGAAATACACGGTCACGGTGAAGGGTCACTATATACGTGGCCCGCGAACTCAGATGAGGATAGGGTGGTGTCTGGTCCCCGGAACGGCCTCCTGTAGCCGCGGGATCCCTTAGCCGTGGGCCCTCACGAGGGCTTGTTGTCGATGTCCGGAATAGCACGGAATTGCTTCTTCGCCGGATCGTGAGAGTCCATTGAGCTAAGCTCCGTCGCTCGCTGGTAATTTCGCTTGCGTAGAGCTCAATTTGTCGACCTCATCGACCATGGCGGCAGTGGTGTGCGCAGGTGCTGTGGCTGGTACTTCTGCTGCCGTGGAATGGGCGCCTTCCTCCGCTGCAAGCTCCTCCGTGGGAGCTTCCCGTAGCGTGGCTTTTCGGGGCGCTGCTCTGGCCGTGAAGCCACTCAGGGTTTGCCGAAGACGTGAAGACGATGGGGTTGAGTTTCTGCAGGGACGGATGCAGAGATTGACTGTGAAGGCGTCTGCGGAGGACGGCGACGGTGAGGTGACTTTGAACAAGCCCGCAGGCTCTGGCAAGAAGGTAATGGTTTCTTTCGTTGGTGGTGACGCAATTTGTTTGTGGCGGTTGTGATCTAATTGGCAGTGTTTTTTGCTTGGTGAATGGTCTATTACGTTGCTGTGGTTACTCTATGGCTCCTTTGTTTGATAACTGTGATTTGGTAGTTTGTAATTGTCGCGAATGCAGGGTTTTGGCTTCTTTTGGGACTTATTTTGAGAATTACAACTGTGTTTTGTGACGGTTTCGTACGTTTGTGACATGCTCCCTTGTTAATTGCTTGCCAAATCGACCTTCGCCGAGGGTCGAAATAGTCTTTCATTGTGGACTGTATCATTTAGTGCTGTGTCGGGATGCACCACGCAGGGTTTATGAACAATGTTGAGTATCTGGTGAATTGATTAGACAGGGAGCGTGGAGTTATTCGTCGTTGTCAAAACCTTAGCTTTTTCTCTCCTTCTTTTATTTGTTATTTTAGAATCAAAAAGAAATCCCATTATTATTTTAATAGTTGTTTTCCTAGAAATTAGTTCAGTAAGGTAATTTCTTGAAAAGATAGAGTTCGTACAGCTCTGGTTTTGCCATTTTCCCTAGATTCAGTGAGGGTTTTGAAATGTTCAGCCCTTCTGTCTTGAATGAAAAGTTACTTTTTTTTTTACCGTGGATTAGGGTTTGGAGAGTTTACAGGCAATGAATGAATATTAATTAATTTGACAACATTTTTTTAAACTTTAGTCATAGTTATATCATCTCTAAAGTATCATACCAACTGTATTGCCTCTCTTTCATGTTATCTCTAGTGTCATGATTCTGCTTGTCTTGGCCTGTGCTCAATGTGTTGCGTTCTCCTTGCAGAAAAAATTGGTCATCTCACCCCCAAAGAAGCAGAGGGTTTTGCTGAGATTTTTGTGGTTGGAGAAGAACATCGGCATCGCACTTGACCAGGTTGTACCAGGCCATGGAACCATTCCCCTCAGCCCCTACTACTTTTGGCCACGAAAGGATGCATGGGAAGAATTGAAGGCAAAGCTAGACAGCAAAGGTTGGATCTCAAGGAAGAGGACCATTATCTTGCTGAACCAAGCTACTGACATTATCAACTTGTGGCAGCAAAATGCCGCCGAGCTTTAGATGAAGATAGAGTTGTGTTAATTATATTTGATCCTGGAGTAGCTGTAATGTGTTAATTAAATTTCTAATTGAGAACTTTCCCACATTTCTTTCGGCACTCATGGTACCCTTTTCTCCATACTTTTCTCTCGACACTCTAGTCTCCCTTGATACTGGTCATATGTGCAAGAAAAAGACTTTATGCTGGTCACCTTTATTTTTCGCTATAAACGTCAAGTTTTAGGAACCATTTATTGCCTTACAGTGGTTCTTTCTGTTCTCGATTCTTAGCCGACAATCTGTCGTAAGTTCAAATTTTGGATAACGAACTTCAAGGATAGTTATGGGCATTCACACGAACCACGTGTTCACATCGTAGAATGGTTTCACGGCTTGCCACACTCCATCGCGGCCTTCTAACACACGTTCGCAGCACATTTTCCAGATCTTCCTCTACAAATTGGAATGAGAATGAAGAATAAATCCTTTGTGAGGGGGTAACACTCTACGCACTGTTATTTTTCTTCTCGTGACGTTCCTGACCAGGTTCGGATTAATTCTATCCGCTTCACGTTTTTTAGATACTGGTATGCTATGCTATGACTCAATTTCAACATTACGTGAAAATGTATTGATGATTGATGAAACATTCCCCATACTTTGACAAATTCACAGAACAGATGCCTACCTCACACTCTTAACTTTTTTACATCCGTCCTTCATCCATGTGTGTACTCAGTCCATCAGCTCTGCTCTGAGTGCCTCGAGTCTGGAAGGTTGGTTGGAAGCATTGTGCCTGCAGAACAATCGATCGTCTCAGCTAGCTATGGCGTTTCAGTTCGATGCAGTGTAGGGGGGTGCATGGATCGATCGACGACGTTGGAGGATCATAGACGACGTTCCTTGCAGAGTTGAAGATGAAGGCCAGATGAAGGGTGGAGTAGCAAGTGACAGAGCTTGACCTGAAGCGGGTTACAGGTTGGTAGATTTGGTGACCTTAGCCTTCCACCATGAGTAGGTTTTATGAAGCGGCGGGGACGAGCGCCGGTTTCGTTACGGAGGACTACGACGTGTTTCTGAACCACCGCGGGCCGGACGTGAAATCCACGTTCGTGACGCACCTGGAAGACGCGCTCCGAAGTGAAGGATTTCGGCCATTTCTGGACGTTCGGTTCCTGATGGTGGGCGGCCCGGCGCTCAAGTCCATCGACCAGGCTCTGGACATGGCCAAAGTTCACGTCGCCGTTGTGTCCAAGGGTTACGCAGAGCCCAAGTACTGCCTGAGCGAGCTCGTGGACATGCTAAAGAGCTGCCAACCGGTGGTTCCTGTGCTCTACGATGTGGAGCCCAGGATCTGCGGCGCGTGGACACCGGGCCGTTCGCTGAGGCTTTCACGAAACACAGGGCGGGACGCAACCAGCATAAGGTGCAAGAGTGGAGAGACGCTCTCCGTTCGCTTGTAAAGCTAACAGCATTTCGCTTGGCTGATTACAAACAGTGAGTTTCTCAAACAAAATCGCATCACTAATGTAAGCAACCTGTTTGTGAATTCTCCTTAGAATGTATGATCCCCTAACTTTATATTCATTGGAATGCCAATATCTGGCATAATAATTATGGGGCATATACTGTACTGTTGACCTCACCCCGCTCCTGCCTAGTGAATTGGTGAGCTGCTCTCTAATTTTTGCTTCTGCCAGACTGATGGAGGTTGTGGGAGACATCTGCACCTCCAAAAATAGGGGGCTTTTTTGACTCCTCTTCCCTCTTCTATCACATGTTTCACAACATGTGAAGGGTAAGGTTGAGGGTAGTTCATTATAACCAATTCCTCTCAATGCTTTTGTATGGATCCACACTTGAATTTCGTAACCATGCAATATTTGGAATCCTATCATCATTGTATCCATATGGGGAGAGGGGTTTGAACAATGAGAGAATGGTTTCTCTAGTAAATTTTGGTCAGGCTTTCTGTTGTGTTTGTTCATTATTGGAACTCTTGTTGTTGTGCAGGGATGAAGCATTGTTGAAGCATGATGTTGTGAGAAAAAATAGCACAGGTCATACCTTCAAATCAATCCATGGAAGTGGACCAGTACAGAGTGGGTCTTGAAGGCTCAGTGAATAGATGCATACAGGCGATGGAGAATATGGGTGATGAAAGAGGAATATTGGGCCTGGTTGGAGTGGGTGGAGTTGGAAAGATGACTCTTGCAAAAGAGATATACAACCATTGTGTGGCTTAGAGGAAATTTAGGCACATGACCTTTTTGGAAATCGATCGGGACAACTCATTCTCTTCAAGCACGAAGGTTAGGCCCGCTTGGGCAAAGAAACTACGGAAGCAGTTGTTGTGGGACCTCCTCCGTGTACATGACAACACCTCATGTGATTACAGCTTATGGTTTCGAAAAGTCTCAACCTTAGGGCTCGTGATGATTGTGATTGATGATGTTCACAAGTTCAACCAATTTGAAGCACTTATTCCGTTTGCAAGTGATCTCCGCATCATTGTGACATCTCGTGATTGGAGTCTCTTGAAGGATGTTGTGGGACGAACAAACTTAGATCACCACAAGTTTGATGTTCCTACATTGGAGTCACATGAGTCCAACATGCTATTCCTTCGGCATGCCTTCAACTCTGACAAAGCTCTGGAGGGCTACCAAGAATTAGCATCGAATGTTGTGGATGCATGTGGAGGTTTGCCCCTTGCACTGAAGGTCATTGGATCAATCTTATTTGACAAAAGAGATAATGAAGCTCGGGACACTATATGGCAAGAGACATCACAAGGTGATGTATTGATTGAAAGTGATGTTATAGAGGTATTGAGATGGAGCTATGATAGCCTTTCTGAGTCAGAGAAGCTTATGTTTTTGGATATAACATGTCTATTTCATGATAAATGTACAAAAGACTTGGCATTGGCAGTTTGGGAAAGTTGTGAAGTTTGTATATCATGTGGTGGTGTGGAGACACCAAGAAGTTCATTACGCACTCTTGCCGACAAGTGTTTGCTCAGTTTTGATCTAGAGGAAGTCTCATTCAAAGTGCATAAGCTCTTAGTAGTTATGGGGAAAGCAATAGCTAAGAAGGATGGAAGACACTTTGTGAAGGGGAAATTTGCATCGGTAGTTGCCACGGATAAGCAAGTAAGTTGTTCAATGAACCTTTTTTCAAATTGGTTTTAAAATTTGCTAAAATTGGATGTATATAGATGAAGAGGAAGACTGCTTTTGGATTTGATTTTCAGATTAAATTTATCAATTGAATTTTAAATTTAAAAAATATTTTGGATGATTTTTTTGTTGATGTTATTTTGCAAATTTTGTGTTAATGTTGGGATTATTTGGGATCTTGTGTGTTGTAGGGAACAAAGAAGACAAGGGCATTGAATTTGGTGGGAAGTCGGAAGCGAAAGTTTGAAGCAGAGGATTTTATAAACATGCCAAATTTGCACTTCCTAGAATTGCCGGATGGATGTATTGTGAATGGAGACTTTAAATGCATGCCAAAAGAATTGCGGTGGCTACGGTGGAGAGGCATGTCATTTTCACATATACCTACTAATTTAGATGTATCGCAATTAACATCACTTGACTTTTCAGAGAGCACAGACATGGCTTCATTGTGGATAGAGGCAAATGACAATTTCGAGGTACATTCTAAATACAACATTTTAAGTTTCCAATGTAAACTTTAATGTGAATTCATTTTGTTTTGATTTTTTCCACCGTCTATTTGACTCAAACTTAAGCTAGATGCATCAGATCACAAAAGCTTGAACATTAGTAAATTGGAAGAATATTGAACCTTGCATTCCATTATGAACATTAATATGTAAACCTTGTTTGTTTGGTCAGGGTTGCCTCAACCTACGTTGGCTGAATTTGAAGGATTGCACATCCATCACAAATCTACCAGATTCAATTGGACTATCATCTCAGCTACAATCTTTAAACTTGATGGGTTGTAGTAAATTGAAGAAGCTCCCAAAATCCATTGGACAACTCGAACAACTCAAATATCTTTACCTCAGTCGATGCATCAGGCTTAAAGTTTTGCCGGATACTTTAGGACAAGCATTTCAACTACGATCTCTAGAGTTGGACAATTGCATTAAGCTAAAAAAGCTTCCAAATTCCATCGGTCAACTCAAAGAACTCAAGAATCTCAATGTATGTTCTTGTACAAGCTTGAGGACTTTGCCAGATACTATAGGTGCTCTCTCAAACTTGCAAACTCTTTATGCATACAATCGCACATCTCTTGTGGAGCTCCCTATATCCATCAGGTTTTTTTCATGTCTTCGGACACTATGGTCGGGAGCCAATACAGAATGTCAGACATTTTCAGAGGGTAATATTGAGGAAGCTTGGACACAGTTGCCATCTTTACGGTTATTTGATTGCCATGGATTAGGATCTCTCCTTAATTATGGTGCATTGAAAAGTCTAGAAGACTTTGCTTTACATGACAACCTCACCAAGCTTCCGAAGTCCATCGGGCTCTTGATATGTCTTCAAACATTGACAATTGAATGTGAGAGGCTGCAATCCTCCCAAAGTCTATTGGTGATCTCAAAATGCTTCGCCATCTAGAGCTAATCCATTGCAACAACTTGAAGACATTGCCTAGTAATTTGGATGCACTCACAAGTTAGGAGTGCCTAAGGATTCAATGTCCTCAAAGCTCCCAAGGTCATTAAGCCAATTATCTCGAGTTCAACTCTGGTACTCCTGTAAACTGGTACAAGAATTTGCAGGAGCTCCCAACCTCCATTACAGAATTCAAAAGCCTTTTGCTATTTCAGAACTTAGTGGATACAGATGAGGTGACTCTTCCCCAAGTTGGCGAGGATTGATGCTTCAGCATATGAAGATAATTGAGCTCAGAACAGAAAGAGGCACATTTTGGCAGTTTTAGCAGTTTTGAGCTCCGGTCCTGTAGGGGTTAGCTTATCACATCACTAGAGGTAAGTCTTCGTTGCTGTTGGATGGATTATTGACTTGTTCCATCAAAGTTGATTTACTAGCCTAGAGCCACCTAACAAAATTCAAAAACTAAGTTAAGCTTGACACAAGTTTCCACGAACATCACTTCTAACTTGTTGAG